AATACAAAATACCGGCTGAACCTGATGGGTCCTATATATCTAGGAGCTAGCTGATATAACATATATACCTGGTCCACAATCAACGACATTTCTCATATAATTTACTCCTCAAAGTTAATTAAACAACAAACTTTAAATTGCTTGTTCTCCAATTCCAAATTACATAAAATTGGAGGGTATCTTGGTGCTTGTAGAATTGACGTACTTCATTAGCTAATTCCCCTATTTGAGTAAGTTTCAGGTATTGCTGCTATTCACCATTCAGGTAATAAAAGTGGAAGAACCTAGAAAGTGACAAAAGGAAGTAGCCAATGGAGAAAAGACATAACTTAGTGGAGGCAACTAACACAAAAAGAACTATCACGTTTGGATTAACTATCATATGTAATAGAAGGAAACTAAACTCTTTTTTTTTTTTTTTTTGGAAATTAAACGTTTGGATTAATTACCATATGCGAAAACATGGAAATAGAAGGGAATTAAACTATTTTTTTAAAAAAATCTCTTTTAATTAATTTTTTTATATATAAAAATCAAGTTAATATTTTAATAGTTCCTAAAATATCATTAACATAATTTACTGACATGTCATTAGTCTAAGTAAAACAAATATCAAATTCTTACAATGGACATCATATTAACCATCTCAAAAATTGATCGGTGAGATGATTATAATAATATATAAAAATTGAAATAATTTTCATTTTATTTGACTTCAATAATTATAAGACAAGAATTATTTCATACTTATAGCACTCGTTATAATAAAATGTGAAATGATCAGAAAAAGTTATTTTCGTCGTCTCTTAACTAGAGTTGTTGGGAATAAAAATCCAAAAAAAGGTTGAATGTATCTAGTGGCTTACTCGTTTTGCCACTAACAGCATCATCAACATTAGCTGTTCCGCTCATGGGTCCGCTACTATTATTGGTGGGTGCAATCATTGTTTGACTATGTTGCACTGCTTCCGAACCATATCTCGACGCATTCATTGCCTGCTATGCAACAACAATTAATAAAACCAACGTCAACATGGTAACACATAACATGGAAAATTAACTCCATCCAAGGATAATTAACTTAACTATGAGCCACTTACCTGAGATGGACTTTGCATAAGATGGTAACCCATGTAACGTGCATATTGTTCTGAAAGGCACGGGTTTTGCATCTGGTTTTGGTAATTAAATGCACCCAAAACTGGATTTTGACACATTAAAGTTTGGTTTGGCATCTGAGTCTGATCATGTGCCAATTTTGGAAATTGCATATGATTGTGAATGGAAGGCAAAGAAGGTGCAACCAGTCCCATCTGTGACATGTAGTGCTGAATTCCTGGAAACATTATTGGTGTCATACCAGTCCCCATCCACATTACCTATCATAAACAACCAAATTTGTTTACACATTACTTAACTTTATATAGTACTATGTGATCAACGTTCGATCTTCACATTTATATATATGAAAAAATATTTGTTGAGCGATTTGAAAAATAAAAAATAAAAAATCACTGCAAGTTGTATATACCTGAAGTTGAAACTGAAGTGATTTCAAGTATTCGATTGCCTCTTCTAACATGGATGCTTTGTCTGTCTGCATGTACAGCTAGCCCTTAGTTATTACACCATGGTGATTGAATCTTGTGAAAAGAAGAATCGTTAAAAACAAAGAAAGTGTGTGTGCAGTGTGTACTGCGCCAGTGAAATACCACTTTTTAAGTTTTAACCCTACCAAACATTGACTTGATCGTCTGAGTCTAGATGCATGCATCTCTTCAGAAAAAAGTTAAAATAGTGACATGTCAACAAGCATTATGATAGCGAACCTTGTTACTGTTAGGTATCAATTGCTGCAATGCCCTCATCTTCTCGTTGATCCTATCTCTTCTTCTCTGCATTGGTAAAATCAACACTGGTAATTAATAAGTGTTAAGTTAACACCACAAGTTTAAAAATTACAAGAAAAATACCATGCCCTCACCCTTTCTGATAGGTTGTGCACTTCAGCTGCACGGTTCCTTCTGGAAGACCCCGTTCGCTGAGATGTTTTATTTTCATCAGCTGATTTAAGTTCTGTGGCCTATTACACATGTAGACACAACTCATCAGCTAACAACAAAACTTAGCATTGTCTCTCTAGGTGAAGCCAACTACATGAATCACACAACATCATTCGACTCAGTTAAAGACTAAATATTAAGAAGTACTGTTGGGAACAAGAGGGGATAAAACACCGGGAAAAAACGCACTAACGAACTCTATCCATCCAATGTAGGACTTTCCTTCATATTAGCACACCAACAGAAACCATGAAGTAAAACCCAAAAAAGAAAAATTAGAAGAGAAAAACATGCATGCATTAATTCACTAAGGTAAATGGAAAGAGGAAGAGCGGGAAAGAGGAAGAGCGTGACCTCACTTTGCTCCTCTGACGCTTCTTCTTCTGTTCCTTTTCTCTTTAGGCCATGATCTCTTGTTGATAAGGAACAGGTTCTTCCAATACCAGTACTGCCTGAGCGACCGGAAGATGAAGTCACAGTTGGTTCAATCATCTCTGATTTTCCCTTGTCACTCCTATGAACTGGTCTCCGGACACAATCTCTAACAGCTTCAGGCTCGGCAGATAAAGTAGCATTATTAGCAGTGGCCCAAATACCATTGCTTGATATCCTGCTAACATCTTGGTCTTGAGGGATGTTGTTGCTGCCACAGTGACTTGAACCAACTGTGATCACTGAGTACTCTCCAGCCTCTCCTTGTGACGTGTTAGCACTAGTTTTTTGAGATGCTGAAGAAACATAACGGGGTGTTGAAAAGTGAGGAAAGTTTAGGACCTTGCCTGATGCACCAAAGTCATTGATTTTCTGGAATGGATCTGAGACATGGAATCTTGGAGCAGGCATAGGATTCCCTTGGAATCCCTCAACACTGGAGGGTTTCATGTTAGGTGGTAGAGGTTGTGAAATTGAAGTAAGATGAGGGGCACTAGAGGCAAAAAAATTGGCATTTTTTCCCTCTTCCATTTGCCTGATTGGCTTGTAAGATTCAACTTCACAAGGTGGTAGCTCAGGTAAAAGGTTTGAACAAAATTCTTGCTCCGATGGGTCCTCAAATGGGTATTGGATCCATGGGGCTGCGTTTTCTTGATCCAGCTTGCTAGAGTTCTCATATGGCCCACTAGTCCTTAATGTTGATTGATCAGTTTTCTGAACCTGTCTCAAGTTAGATGAGTTCCCAACTGGTTGCTTATGTGTTTGGCTGTGCATAACTACTTGTCCATTTTGCCATAAGAGCTCCACAAATTCTTGGTCCGGCCTGTGTAATTGACCACAGAGAATTATAATCAAGACAAAGTTAATTGTGACTGAATTCTGATTTGACAAAGATAGATAACACACACCTTACTAACTTTCTTTGGTTGTTGAGACAAGTATCACTCTCAAAATCCCAACCTCGAATACTGTTGTTCATGGTTCACCAAACCAAGTTGTCTGTTTGAACAAGAGAGGAGAGAACTTCAGACTTCAAACAAACTTCACAAGCAGAGGAAAATAATTTGCAATGTTCAGCTAATTGAACTTTTGAAGTGAAAGAAAATAATAATAAATTGTTTTCCTAACATGCCAAGGAGGAGAAAAGGCCAATGAAATGGAACCACAAGTTGATTTTGCCATTGTGAATTGTGTAAATAAATAAAGCACCGAATGTTCAAACTCCAAGAGATCCGGAAAGGAAAAATTATTTTCCTATTACGGTTGAAGTACATGTCAACAAGCATAGAAAAAGAACAGAAAATTTATAAAAAAAAATTACCAAACATTTAACCCAACAAATTGGGAAATTTTTGAGAGAGTAGTCAGTTAGAAAGCTGTTCTAAGTATTAAATCGAGAAGATTCTACCACATAAACATACACATACAGAGACACAAATTCAAAAACTAAGAAGTGATTGATATATTCCTATGAACGTATTCACTTTGACTGGTCGAAGAACTAATTAAAATGAAAAGAAAAAAAAAATCATTTTCAGGCAAGAAAAAAGAACCCGAGTTTCTTGTGTTACAATTATAACAAGTCAGTATGATGAGTACAGTATAGCAGAAAAGAACACCTGAGTTAAGGTAAAAGCAATTTTTGTTTTGTAACTTCTTGAATAGAATCTACAAGCTAGAATCTAGAAACTCATGAAACTCCCTCTTCTAGCTTTTCCCTATGAACATGTTCTTCTGCATAGGGAGTTTGTAGCACACAGTTTTTAAGAAGAAGAAGGACAGTGACATGTTCAAGTACAGAGAGAGAATAGTGGAAATATCCCATGAAAAAATGGTACTACTTTGTGCATGTCAACAGCGAGAAAAACATGGCTGCACATGTGTCATTTTGTGAATGAATTGGGGACCAATTAATAACGGAGTCTGCAATTTGTTTTGCTTCTATAGGTTCTGGTTGTTGAAGTTGAAAACACAAATTAAACAAGGAAATCTAATTCTCCATGCACAGGGAGAATGCTATATCTGAATGTTGATTCTGGTGGCGACACGTGGCAGGGACAAGGTGCATATAATTGGAGACTGATAAGGCTCAGCATTGTCCGAAAAAGATGTGGCACTCGTTTCATGCTCATCTAGACATCTACTAATCAACTATCTATCAAGAACACATGGTGTCCAAGTTCATTATTTTCTACTTAAGTTTTGGTCAACTCAGAAAATTTTCATTAGTTCAAACGAGTGGATGGATAATGTGGAATTTGAATCTTAACTGATATGGCATTGGACATCAGCCCCATGACATCATGATGTTAAAGAAACAAAGATATATATTTTTTTATTAAGTGAAAATTTATCATAGTTATTTGTATAGTTTATTTATTATGTTTGATGAAAAGTATGTCTTTCTTTTTGTAAAAATGATTATATTATGATAGTTAAGAATATGGGAGGATTCATGTCTAATAATATTAATTTCTTTACAAAGCTTGAGTGACAAAGACAGATGATTGCAAAGCAAAGCGACCGGCCAACTTGTTCACCGCGCAGCACAGCAAATGGATAGGAACTGCTCCACCTATTGCCAACTCACTGCCTTCATCCTTCACAAACATATTTAGGAATATTTTTTGCCTTCATCACCGAATAGTATAAGTGAATATCTTCTCATAATTTCAATTTTTTTCTTGTATGAATAAGAATCGAGATTTGAATTTCAGTCAATTGATTAAATATTGAGAATTCCTATTTAAGTGCACTCTAATTTAGATAAATATTTTAAAAAAAAAACATTCTTTTAAATACACTCTCAAATCTGTTAAATTTATTGAAAAATATAAAATTTAGCGAGTCTCATATTTTATTTAATTGATTCTCTTTCTTGATGTTATAATTTTAAATAAATTTTAGTCAATAAAAATGGGTGTATTAATAATAAAAGTGTGTTGCTAGTATTTATTTTTATTTTTATTTTAAATTAATAAAACAAGTAAATTAAATTAAATACACAAATATGATCTAAGCCCAAAAAAAATTAACTATTAAAATATAGATATTATAAGTGATATGATATGATATGATAAATAAAAAAAAGTTATATCATTTGTTTTAAGAATTTTTTTTTTTTTTGACTCGTAACTCAAGATTAAGTTTTTTAGATATAAAATCATTGAATAAAATATTTACCTCTTTAAAAATCGATTTTATGACGATGTATTTAAAGAATTGAACGATCTAAATTTGTGTTAAATTCCAGTGGCTACGAACTTCGACCATACTAAAGATGTTTATAAATAAATAAAAACTCAGCTAGCACAGGACAAAGTGTGTACGCGTATTAATAAAGGCCAATGGGTAGAAAATGCATGACAATTAATGCAGTATGGTTGCAACTAAAGTAAAACTCAAATTCAAATTCAAATTCAACGGAAGGACGACAACTTCGTGAAACATATTTGAACACTAGTGTAACGTGGAAAATGGAAATGTTGAGGTAACAACTAAGAAGTAGGAATGCTTTCAAACAAAAAAAAAAACTAAGTAGGAATGATATTCATTATTTCATTGATATATACGCCAAATGAAACTGACTTTTTTATTTTTATTTTTTAGGTTGTGATTAGATTAAATATTTTCAAATTTTGAACTTCATAAATTTTAGAAAATTAGCATTCGCCTTGACTAGTAATTTACTTTCATGGTGACAACTATTGAGATGAACATTACATAAAATAAAAAAAAAGCATATACTAACAATTTAGTATGTATTATTAGATTCTATTGGCATAACTTTTGTTTAATGAAAATTAAAATATCAGTATAAAGAATTGGGTTTACACTAATATAGAATAATATATTAGTTGACTTTTTATTTTATTTTATTTTTTCAAAGAAATGTTAAAAGTATGTTTTAAAAAAGAGAAAAAAGAAATTAAGAAGAGATAAAGAAATGGGAAAGAATTAAAAAAAATTATTACTATACATATAACAAAAATTGTACAATAATTTGCATAACATCACTTTTTTTTTTTTATATTTCTATATTTTTTCATTTATATATTTATAATAAAAAATTACAACAACTTGCACAATACCATTTTTGTGTCTATTTTTCTTCATTAGTCCATACGGAAAAAATAGACACAAAAATAATATTATACAAGTTATTGTAAGTAAACATTACTCCTTCATTTATTATGAAGAAAAATAAATACAAAATTAATATTGTACAAATTGTTATAGAATTTTTATAATACATGTAAAATTACTCATAGAGAAAATTGTCACATACAAAAAAAAAAAATCAATAAAGACCCTTAAGGAATCATTCAATATTAAAATTCATATAAGCATCAAATATTGATTTTGCTTTATGCTATTCTACGTAATAATTTGTTGTTAAACAAATTTCAATTCTCGTTGATTTATTACGTTCCTCGTCCTTCATTTTGCATGCTTGGGTAACATTTGTCACCTAAATCAACCAACAAGCCACTATAATCCCACGAGGGTTCCCTCTTCTCTACATAATCATTTCAGTTTCTGTCAAATTTCAAACATTTTAGTTTTTATTAAATTGGTAATTTGAAACTGAAGTAGCCACTTGGATGTTGGACCAAATAGACACTTTGGCCCAAACTATGAATTGGGCAGAACCATTGAGCTGATTTAGAAGGTGTTTTTTTTTAAATTTTTTTTAAAGATGGGTAGATTCTTACTGTATGATTTGAGACAAGATTAATGAATAGACATATTTAAAAAGAACATTATGAGAAAATTCTTCCCAAATAATATGGACTTATGAAGTGAAAATAATAAAGAAAACTACAACATTCTCCATGTACTCGTGTATCATTTTATCACTTTTCCCTTCCATATATTTTATGGTTTCTAAACAAGTAATTAAACCCAGCTTTCTTTTCAATTTTATTCATCCAGTTATACCACATTTTAATAAAAGGTGAAAAATATATTAAGGACCTGATAAAGAAACACTTATGAGAAGGGAAAAAAAAAAGTTAAATCGAAGTAAGTTACTCCATAATTTAAAACCAATTATTCATTTGAATTAAAAATAAATTTTTGAAAAATTTATAAGAGATTATTCTACATATATCTAAAAGTTTTACTCAAACAAACTCGAATATGTATCTTTAGAATTTTCTTTCCATCCAGAATGAGCGACCCTAGACACTGCTTGAAGATAACCCAATGGAAATATGATGTTCCTGAAAAGGGTTTTATGGACAAATTTGGTGATGAAGCTATAACAAAGAAGCTCATAAAACAAGAAAGACGAACATATAATTACTATCGAACTTATTGATATATATATATATATATATATAGCTGATGAAGAAGAATTTGTGGGTTCAATTCCAAAGTGAAAAGATTGAAGAAATGCAGAAAGCCTTTATGAGGGAAGTTGGGGATTAATTCTGTCTAATCATATATATATATATATACATAAATGAACTTAAAACAGATTCAAGTTGTGCTCAAGTTTTTTAAGGATGAACAAATAAAAACGATGAAATATACAAAAATAACAAAACTATTAGGTATTGCTTTGAATTTCTTTCTCTTTTTTTCTCATAGTTTTAGTGTACACTTACACTGCAACTTGGTTACTTAATTTGTTGTCTTGGTGGAGGCAGGACCACTTTGCTTCTGTTTTTTTCTTTTTTTTCGAACTACGATATTCTCTAGTCCAAAAGTTAAGGATTAATTCTTGAAGTTTTGAGGCTTATTTCAGATTGATCTCTCTTAAGAAAAATATTTTTTCATACACACTTGTTAAGGGTGGAATTTCTGAGTGCATACTAAAGTGACATGCTTGTGTTAGACCTATATATATATATATATAAAATTGTTTATATCTTTTTCTGAACCGAAAGTTTTAAATAACGCCAAAGAATTCCACAATGTCTCTGTGACTTCTTATCTCATTTGGACCTTTTCAAACTCAAACTTTATTCTGGTGCAAGGAGTAAGCAAGAAAACAATAAACTAATTATATATAGGTTTAATTAAAATAAAATAAAATAAAAGCATATATGATATATGATACAGGTTTACTCACTCAGTGATCAGATAATAGTCAAAGACAAGAAAAAGTTAGATATAATGAGTCATAGATCGAGAGAGAGAGAGAGAGGGTTCAAAGCTTAATTATTAAATAAAACATATATTATGTCACACAAATAGTGACTGCAACAAACTCAGTACTACAACCTTCCAATATAAATTTCAGAAAACACAAATGTAGCTAAGCAAAACTACAGACAGAAGCATACACTGATACATGGTGACAGATTCTACAAATGCAGCATCAGCACCTCCTACTAATCTACTCATATATGGTGACAGATTCTACGCCGCCGGTGCCACATCGACGCCATCGTCATCGTCGTCATCACCGTCGTCATTTGAGGTGCAAAAGTTGTGAGATTCAGTTGCAGCCAGGTCGTTGGCCAAGCCAAACATGGGGAGACCATGTTGCTTGGAAATAAAGACCACCATTATAACACAGATATGACAGAATTATTATACTATAAAGTGATGCAAAGAAGACTGGTTTGACTGAATGAGCTCATGAGTCTTCTCATTTATATATATACACAAGAAAGTTGAATATTAAAATAACCAATATTGGTGGCAGAACTTAGACAAAAAATTTGAAGGTACCAAATTATTTTTTTATATATATAAAATTATAAATTAAATTTTTTATTAATTAAAAATAATAGAATTTCTCTTTTTTTATTCAATCTTTTTAATTTTATTATAATTAATAATATGATAATATATAAATATAATATTTATATATATATATATATAAAATTAGAAAAGTTTGGGAGAGTCGGAACTCCCTCCTGTCATGCTGAACGTCGCTGATGGAATGGCTTTTAATATATTCCATTTGGATAATGTTACACTTCAAACACAATCTTGCAACATTTTTTATTGTTTTTTTTATATATAATATCATTCATTGATTTTACTTTCATTAATGATCAATAGACAATTATTTTTCACTTTTTTCATTTATCAAAATTGAATTATTACCAAAGGATTTATAACCATTTACTCATTTTATCTGTTCAACTAAATTATACTTCTTTGATAGATACTTTTTTCACATTACAAAAAAATGCGTTACATAAAAATTGGTAGGACTATAAATACTTAATAGTTTGTTACTTTCTAATAATTTCTCTTCTTTCTCTTAGGTGTCATTTAGGTGTATACTAATCATCATTTATGCTTTAATTTATAATTTTTCTTATTCTTTTAATTAAATGGTAAGAATTGCCCTAAAAAATGGGAGAGGGGTAGGATTTCTCTTGAAGATTTTCTGAAAGATAAGTTGCTTTCTTTTCTCATTCTCTACTAGCTAGCAACGAGGCACTTTTGATTTTGTTTTCTTGTTAGAATGCAACGTTGTGTATGAGTGCAAAGGAGACAATGGCTGAGTTGGTGAATCTTCTGACCATACAATGGTCCATGGTGGACAAAACTTGAGGCAAACTCATGGCTTCTTGTTGCAGAGTGCATTCAACATGTGGAGTTAAGAGTTGCACACACGCTTGAGCTTCATCGTCACATGCATTTGGATGACATGGATATGCCAAAAACAGTTCACGAAAAGGTGAATAGAGAAAGAGTTAAGAGATTTGTGATATGAACTTGGGACCATAAATTTTGTATTTTCAATAAATAAATTTTAGTAAAGAGTGTTAGAAGAAAAAAAATATATATTTAGAGATAACGTCATTAGCATTTCTACGTGAATATTGTAAAAATGACAAAGGGTTAAAAAACCTTTACAAGATAAGTTTCGGCCAAATCTGTGTGCTTGAATCTTGATCATTGCATTTGTGCCTCGTGACTTTTCAACTACATGTGTGGCTTAGCAAGGCTTGTGTTGGGTTGGGTGCATATATTCTTTTTTATTATAGTGATATATATATATA